TTTTGTTCATATGGTGCCTTCTGAAATTTTTCAGTGTTGTCCAGCTCTTTTGGTACTGTGACTCTCTATATTCTTTGTGGGAATCTATGCAGGCAGCACTCCAGCCACATCCAGGAAGGCCCAAAACGGGCCTGAAACTGATCTTTGAAGACATTGATGCAGGCAACCCCACCACAGCAATTGGTACTATCAGTCAAGAAATCAAAGACATATATTGCATTAGGAAAATCTGCTGTCAAGGACCTCTCCAAAGTTCTAAGGAGAAATCATTTTAGTTTAAAAGATAAGGTGCACCTGATTCAAGCCATGGTCCTTTAAATTTCTTATTTACATATGAAAGTTGTAGGGAGCTTTGGTGGCCAAGTGGTCAGGAGTTGTGCTGCTAATCTGAAGGCCACAGTTAGAATTCACCAGCTGTTTCATAAGAAAAAGATGGACAATCAACTCTCATGTGATTTACTGTCTTTGAACACCTGCTATAGGGTCAGGTAGGGTAAGTTCTGACTCAATGGAATGTAACAACAATGAAAGTTGGACAATGAATAAGGATGACAATGACAGAAGAACAATCGATACCTTTGAGCTGTACTGTTGGAGAAGACTATTGACTATCTTATGGATTTCTAAGAGAATACACAACTATGTTTTGGAGAAAGTGCAACCAGGTTGGCTCCTTAGAGGTGATAAGCTTTGTCTCATATACTTTGGATATGTTAGGAGGGACCAGTCTTTGGAAAATGGAATCATGTTTGGAAAGGTGGAGAGTCAGCAAAAGGAAGGAAGACTCCCAGGGAGATGTACTAACACATTGACTATAACGATGGGCTCAAGTATATCTAAGATGGTAAAAATGATGTAGAATAGAGCAAACTTCAAATTTGTTGTTCACAGTGTCACTATGAGTTGTAGTTGACTTGACGGCACTTAAAAACAGCAATATGTGTAGCTAAAGTTTCATCATTTTAAATCTCCCCAATCATAGTTTCACTATTAAAGAGCTTCTATCAATCCAGTTTCAAGAAAATACATCATTCAGGAGCATACTCTTTCATATTATTATTTTCTCTTTTTCCACTAGATAGTTTCTATTTGGATAAAAAGTGCTTACAGTTTCACATATTACATACCCAAGTAAAGAACACATGCATACATTATGCATAGAAAACTAACACTCCAGAGCCTGCACAGTTTGAAAAAAACCAAAAAGTATATATTATTGGTGTAAAAAAATATAAGGTGTCCTTATCCTTTAAAATGGAGAATGGGAATATCAGAATATTTCATTACATTCATACAAAACCTATATCTAGACCAAGATCACTGCATGATTTATGTAAAAAGAGCTAGGGCAGCATGTGGACAGCCATATCTGACCTCTACTTACTACCCGAGGTGGGGGATTGCCCATATACTGATAACATCCACAGTACAAAACAAATTCCTATAGTTTCACACATTCCTATATCTACTTCTATTAATCACAATACCAAATCTTATTGTTCTACTCGGCCCCAACTCAGTTGCAATGACTACACAGATTTTACAGAACCATACTTATGATTATGGGGTTTATTAGAGAATTTAACAGGCTCTAATTCAGGTTGGCAGCAGGATACAATCTCTCAGTCCAGACAGCTTCTCCTCATGCATGGTTCTCAAACCCTTACACTTTCAGTCTCATGATTTAGGTCAAGTTTCCAAAGTTCCTTAGTCCTGCCAGTTATGATGTCTTCCCTCAGCTCTCCAGCAAGCTTGTGTTAAGGCTTCTGGCTTTGGCTCCACAAGGCAGCAGTCTCAAGGTCAGTTCTGCCTCATACTGGGTGTTTGTTTCTCAACTGTGGCTATGGCTGTGGCTGCAGCTGCTGCTCCTATGTGCCTGATCTAGCTGACGCAGGAATGTCTGGCTCCAAAGGACACGTGCTGTTTTCTCTTTTTTTGTTAGTGTAGAGATTCCTAAATTCTTCTGCAGAATCTATACTATTTCATAGCAAAACTAGCCAATACTCTGTGGATAGACTAATGGAGGTAATAGCTTGGGTCAACAACCAAACTCTGAGTCTTCAAACAGACAACAAAGGTCTTAAGTATTTTGGAGAGCTCCCTCACAGTGAACTTGCCCAATGGAATACCTCTTCTGATCTCCTGACTGCTGGTGGCAAAGGTGTTGATTGCTGACCCAGGCAAGATTAAATCACCAATAGCTTCAATTTGTTAACAGCTCTACTCTGACACCACTTATATCTCCAGCTATGAATTCCATTTCTTAGCTCTCCTTTTTAGTAAAACATGTTGAGATGTCTACAGTATTAAGCTTATTTCTTCATCTCATATTTTATTTTCAGCATGTTTCTCAAGGCATGAAACTATTATTTGTTGGGGGCTTAGTCATAGGGAGTTGCATTGCGAACCCATCCAAAAGTATATGGTTTGAAGCCACCAGCTGTTCCTTGGGAGAAAGATGGGCAATCAACTCCTGTGTGAATATTGACTGAAAAATGCTGGAAAGTCAGCTATGAATTGATTCTGAATCCGATACTTAAAAACAACAACAAATCTTTGTCTTCATTTTACTTGGTCTCTCAGAAAGATTCAATATAGTTGCCTATGCTTTGTTATTTTTGCTTTTATGACTCTTTTGTAACTTTCTACCTACTTCATTTCTCTACCTCCCTTGCTTGCTTCTTTTCCTCTGCTCTACCTTTAAACATTGGGACATTCTTTATGAACATACTTTCTGTAGGCAGGTTTTTATATATGCTAATAACTCCCAAATTGGTATCCTTTATCTCCTTGCCTTGAGGAGAGAACTCAAAGACTTACCTTAAATTTCTTACTGTAACTAAAACTGAATAAACCACCACTATAGTTATACATTTCTATACTAATATTGCTCATTTGTAAAATGGCACAGATGAACACTAAAATCCCAGGCAAATTATGTGACTCTTTTTTCACAAGGCCTATATTAAAAATATTAAAAATTCTGTAGGTTCTGCTTGCAATACACAACATACATCCACCTATTTCTTTACCTCTTTGGCTCAAACTACACTTCTTTACTTCTTTGGCCCGAACTACCATCATTGCTTCCTGGACATCCCTAATTACCTTCTAATTGCTATAAATATTGTTCCTCAACTTCAGTGAGTCATTCACAACAAACCAGAAAAAAAGTCAGATTCTATCAACTCTGTCTTAAAAATAAAAAAACAAACCCTCACTATGAATTTCTCATCTGACTTTAAACAAATTCCAAGTTTATCAGCATATCCTATTCAAATGCCTACATGATCTGGTCTAATCTATCTCTTTATATTTTATCACTCTATATTCCAGTTCATTTTGTCTTTAGCATTGTTTGAAAAGGGTCAAGTTTCCTTGTACTTTAGGGACTTTGCAACTGAACTTCTTGCCTACTCTGATCGCCAACATTCTAATGGCCGACTTCATATTGCTGGAGTCTCAGTGAAAATGCCAACTCTTCATAAAGTTGTCTAATATAAGTACTTTCTCCCTCAGTTTCACTTATTTTCCCCCTTTGCTGAATGTACCATTATCCTAATTTTCCTTATTTATATATTGTTTGTTTGTTTCTTTTCTATATCATCTCATTACAGCTTAAGTTCCATAACTACAGGGATCCTATCTTTACCACTGTATTCACAGTACCTTAAAAAAAATCTCTGGCATACAAGATTTTCTAAAAATATTTGGTCAATTCCCATCACTAAAAAAGGTCACTCTTTCTCTTAATTTAATGCACATTTGCAGTTCTATGATTGTGAGAACTTAGCTCTGTATCCAAGGAATAAAAAAAAAAAGTCCCTTGAGAATCTCCATTCATTTCAACTAATATTTATATACTGCATACATACTATGTTGCAGGTATATTTTTATCTCAGCATTTAGTTTTCCCTTCCATTAAATGGAGTTAACAACTGCTATCTCATAGAAATGTATAATTAAACAGGATGAGTATGTATATAATGCATAAAGAAGTGCTATTAAGATGTTATTTTATGTATAGGCAACAACGCAGTTTTCTCTCTCCTTTTGTGTGATAACTAGAGGAGTAGGCACTATAAACTATTCACAATAACCTTATGATTAACAGAAAATCAGATGGAAACCCTTCCCTTTCCTGCATCATCATCACAATCTGTGCTATGCTCAAGCCTTGTAAAATTCCTGTACTCAAAAGGTGTGTGGGGAAATTTTAGTTTTCCACACTTCTAATAAACAATTTTAATCAAGGAATAAAAGGGTTTAGGAGTGGGGTTTGGTCTATCCCTCTGTCATTTCTAATAAACTAATCCCAAGCAATAAAAGGGTTTAGGAGTGGAGTTTGGTCTATCTCTCTGTGCCACCTGACACTCCTTATCTACCCATTTTATAGTCCATAAACCCTAGAACACACAGAATGTGGCCACAAGGACCTAATATGGGTTTGTGGAACTCCAGTCATTGTTCTTGAATAACATGGCTGATGGACTAAACATATGCAACCACTTCCTTTATCTAAACCTTCTGCATTAGACTAGGCAAGGAGGTGAGACTATGGGGAGAATGAAGGGAGGGCCTTCTCAGGACCAACACCCAGTTGTGGAACATATTTCCAATTGTCAGAGAACGTGAAGGCCTTCTCTGGAGCTCTACCTTTTGTACAACAGTCTGCACTTAATAACACTGACTTGCAGTCAAGTGTCGCCACATCACTTATTTCTTACTTGCGGAAACCTGTAAAATGAACTAAAGGAGAGCAGGAGGAGATGGAGGACAAGAGATACAGAGAGAAAATAAGTAAATGTACTGGCCAGGGAGAGGAAAGAAAAGGTCTATCGTGGTGGTTTCCTCAGGGCCTGGCACAAAAGAGCCAATGTTTACTCCCTTGTACAGAAACACAAAGAAATGCCTCCTAGGGGAGCCATGAGAAGCAAAGTAACAATGAAACAGAGGGTCCTTGGACCAAGGGCCTGTAAGGGGACAAGAGCCGTACCTACAATTTCTTTAGCATTCCAGTTAGCCCTAGGCGCCCAGCAACTGTCGTGTAGGCCACGTGCCAATGAGAGTGCAAGAGAGAGCCTGGGAGAGAAGAGAGAGTGTGGGGGGGCGGGGGCGGAGCGGAGGGTGTGGGCGGAGCGGGGGCGGGGCTAATAGTGGCGCCGCTCCATGACATCATGCTTGCAAGAGGCTCTTTGGAACCGCCCTGGGGAGATGTGATGGTTTCAGTCTCTTCACCTATTTCCATTATGGCTGTCTAACGGATGTTCATCTGTCAGGTTGTAAAAGTCCAGGGGTATAGTTAAGTCTAGAAATAGTGTCCAGAACTACCTGTGCCAGAAGTTACTTTCCAAACCTCAGATCCTGTTTCCTCTTAGCAAAACCCATTGCAATAGAGTGCTTCCTAATCAACACGACCCTGCAGAACAGAGTAGAACGGTCCATAGATTTTCCAAAATTATATATCTTTAAGGAAACCTGATGGAGCTACTGAAATTGTATTCAATGTTTTACAGTAAGTCACTGGGCTATGAAATCCAATTAACCATAAACTGCTACCTCTCCTTTAATATTGTTGTTGTTGTTATGTGCCGTGGAGTTGCTTGTGACTCATAGCGACCCTATGTACAACAGCCCTAACCTCTGCTCTGTTCTGTGCCAATCGCACTGTCTCTGACACTCCCATCCCAATTATCCCAGTCACTGAATCAATCCACCTCATAGAGGGCCTTCCTCTCCTGCGCTGTCCCTCCACCCTCCCAAGCATGATATCCCTCTCCAGGGACCTGTCCCTCCTCACAACATGTCCAAAGTATATTAGACGGAGCCTCAGAATCTTTGCCTGCAAGGAGCCACCTGGTTTAACCCTTTCCAGGACAAATCTGTTTATTTTCCTAGCAGTCCATGGTATTCTCAATACTCTTCTCCAGTACCACATCTCAAAGGCATCAATTCTCCTTCTATCCTCCTTGGTCATTGTCCAACTCTCTGATGCATAACAAGTGATTGCGAAGACCATGGCCTGTATCAGACGCACCTTAGTCTCCAGAGAGACACCACTGCTCTTCAGTACTTTGGAGAGGTCCCTAACAGCAGACTTTCCCATGGCAATGCGCCGTTTAATTTCCTGGCTGCTGGTGCCAAGACTGTTGACTATGGAGCCAAGCAAACTAAAGCTGTGTACAATCTCAATCTCTTCACCATCCATCCTGATGCTGCCAATTGGTCCAGTGGTAAGAATCTTTGTCTTCTTGACATTGAGCCTCAATCCATATTGTAGGCTGCAGGCCTTGACACTCTGCAGCAGGTGCTTCAGGTCCTTTTCTGTTTCAGCAGGCAGGGTTGTGCCATCCGCATAACGCAGTTTGTTGATAAATCGTCCACCAATCTTGACCTCACATTTCTCCTCATAGAGCCCAGCCTCCCGGATAATCTGTTCTGCATATAGGTTGAAAAGGTATGGAGATAGGATGCATCCCTGGCGTACGCCCTTCCCAATTTTGAAACATGCAGTGTTCCCTTGCTCTGTTCTGATGACTGCCTCCTGGTCCAAGTATAAGTTTCGCATTAGAACGATCAAGTGTTCTGGGATTCCCATTCTTCTCAGAGTCAGCCATAGTTTGTTATGATCTACACAGTCAAATGCCTTTGCATAGTCAATGAAACAAACACAGATAGACATTCTTCTGGTATTCCCTGCTTTCAGCCAAGATCCATCTAACATCAGCTACAATATCTCTAGTATTATGTAAACTTATTCTCAACTTTGAACAATTGAACTTTGAAAAATTGAACCTTTGTTTTGCAGTAATTTCCTCATCACAGTCATCTGTAACTTACTCCATCTTCAGTTTTTAAAACACTGAAAAGGCTTATTAGAGCTGTTTCTTGCATTAACTCTTTCATAGATGTGGAATCTGAACTGACTCATAGCTGACCCTCCAAATAGGTTTTTGGAGGCTGTAAATCCCATGGAAGAGAAAAAAAGAAAAATCCCACAGAAGAACATTGCCTTTCTCCATCAGAGTTGCTAGTGGATTTGAACTATCAGAGAGGTATAGTCTGTGGTTATCAGTGCAACTCTCTTAGGATTCTGCCAACAGAACTTCTTTGCACTAATGTTAAGTACCACCAAGTCACTGCTACTCGTAGTAACCCTATCTTGTGCCATCCTCACCATATCCAATATACTTGAACTCATTGTTAACAGTCATCATGTCACTCCATCTTGTTAGGGCTTCACCTTCCCAAGCATGATTTCCTTCTCCAGGACTGATCTCTCCTAACAACATGGACAAAGCATGCAAGAGAAGTTTCATCATCCATACCTTCAAGGAGCACCTTGGTTGCACTTTATCCAAGACAGACTTGTTTGTTCTTTAGGCAGTTCTTGAGATATTCAGCACTGTTCTCCAAAACCATAATTCTTTTGTCATCCTTAATCATTGTCCAACTATCAAGATGCATAGCAAGTGACTATGGTTTGGATCAAAGTAAGGCTATATAAGAACCTAATGAGCCAATCCCAGGGAGCTCCGGTGGTCTAATGGAAAGCTGCTGCACTGCAATTCCAAAGGCACGTGGTTCGAGGTCATTAGCTGCTCCTTGGGGAAAAGATGGGCCATCTCCTCACCTGTGATTAACTGCCTTTGAAAACTCAGCTCTGGATCAGTCCAATTCTAAGGAGCACAACAACATGCACCAATTCCAATTAACCTGCAAAATTGACCTAAAGCACACTTATAAATGGATTTCATTTCATTTCATTCAGAACCTGTAGAATGCCTGCACAGCTATTAACAGAAATTAATGTGTGCGTGCACACACTCATCTTGAATTTGATTTCCAACTAAATGAAAACCCATATGTGTCAAACTGTGCTTTCTAGGGTTTTCAATGGTTGATTTTTTTTTTAAAGTACAAAACTCACACCTTATTATGTATCCCTCACATTGTTAAAATTGCAGTAGAATTCAAGTTTTATTGGAAACAGAGCAATTTAATATCTTGCCCATCACTGTATCTATGGGATACAGCACAATGTCAGGCATATAGTAAGCATGTTTAAGTGTATTTTGACTGAGTGATTTAAAACATAACCTCTACAAAGGCTGAGCTCTGTATTACAATGAAAAATAATCAGGTATTACCAGATGAGTAGATGACTTTTTTTAAGTCTTAAAAACCATGAGATGCATGGCAAGATAGTAGGTACTTTATTCATTACCTGAACAAAGAAATAAAGAGGACCATGCTAGGTAAAGGAAGACCTAAGAAAAATAATGCAATAACCAAAACATCAGATGCAAAAAAATCCCCCTCACCAATCATTCTCTCTATCAGATACCAGATTGTCTTTCATGTAATTAATTCTATGAAAGATACATTTTTCTGAAAATAAGTCAATTTCCCCCAGAATAATCAAATAGGAATTTAGATTAAGAGTTTCTCTCTTTACACAAAATTTTACCACTGTAGAAAACAATGTGATAATGCCTAAAAAAAAAAAGAAAAAAAAATGGACCTACCCTATGACCGAGCAATGCTATTCCTAGGAATATAACAAAAATATTTGAAAGCAAAGAATTTGATAGAAACGTGTATGCGATTGCTTGTTGCAGTACTATTAATAATGAGCACAAGGTAGAAACAATCTAAATGTCCATCAATAAGCAGATGAATGAACAAATATGGTCCGTACATACAATGAAATATGTGGTACAGTGAAATTTTAAAGATGATCCTTCTATTTATAATCTTTTAATTGCTTACAAAGTTCATTTACATTGTGTTTCATACAATCATTCATATTTTATAAAATTAATCACCATTGAGCTATGCCCACCATTACCCTGTCTTCTCATATCCCTGCTGGATCTTTCCCATTTCCTTTACTCACCCCGCCTCCATCCCCTGCTCCCTCCACTCACCAAATTGTGCAATCCTCTTCCTCACCTTTCTGCCTCCTCCCCAGCCCCGCCTTGGATCCTCTCATACATGCTTTACTTGTTATCTTTATATTTCTACAATAATGGTTTTATGCAGTATTTGTCCTTATGAGACTGAGTTATCTTTGTGACTCCCAGATAATGACTGAATGTAACTAAACAAGTACTTTAGATCTACCCAGGGAATTGGATAACTTGTGATGGTTAATATTGTGTGTCAGTGTGGCCATAATCCTCAGTGTAATGTCAAAGTCCCATGTGCTGTCCATTCTAAGCTACGTGATGTTAATGAGGCAGGAAGAAAGATGGTTGTGTAAAGATAAGATTGCCCTTATCTGATGAGGGGGAAGTTTCCTCAGGGGTATAATCTTTCCTGGATATATATTTGGACTCTGACAAAGCTAAGGAGTTTTTTGTCCAATCCTATAATTGACTATCTGGTTCATGGCCTCCAGACTTGAACTGGGGCCTGATGTGCATGATTTTAAGCTTGTTAGTCTCCAGAGCTAGTTAGCTGTGACCATACTCCACAATGAGGACCTTTGAGCTTATTAGCCTCTGAAACTTGCAGCCTCCAAAGCCAGCAACCTGAAACCTGTCCAGCCTGATGATGACTTTGACTCATTGGCTCCCCAGAAACATCTCTCTTGAGGTCTGACCTAAAGACCTAATGCAAATAAAGCATACAGAACATGTGATAGCTAACTGTGAATTTCATTGGGACATGACAATCATTTAGAAAATAAGCAATTTTTAATATAGTAGCCATGCAACAGTGTAGTCATCCTCCGTTTTGTGATCTGATGTTAATCATCCTTCATTTTTATTGTTTGCTTATTAACCAAGATTGGATACCCTGGTATACTGGATAACATTTCCAATGAGATTTGTTTGTCTTAAAAAGGGAAACTACCAGTCAGCTTTGAATTTTGGACTTGGCCAGAGGACCTCGCAGATGCCATAGAGAGAGGGAGTGGTTTTGGACACAGGACACACCTCTGGACCTTTGACCTGCACCTAGCAGGTACCAAGGCTACCCTCCACCGGGAAGTTTGCCCCCCCAATCCCCATTCCCCCCCACCCCTGCCAGCTTTGAATTTTGGAGTTGGAGAGAGGACATCACAGACACTGTAGAAAGAACAAGTGGTTTTGGACACAGGACACACCTCTGGACCTTTGACCCACACCAGGCAGGTACCAAGGCTACACCCCGTGGAAGTTTGTGCCCCTCCAGCTTTGAATTTTAGGGCCTTCAGGCCAGGAATTAAAAGAAACACAGACCTAATTATAGCATTTATCA